TAGAACCCGTGTAGGTAGTCACTGACATTTTCAAATGTCAGCGGACCCTCTTGCAATGCGCTGTTTATCATTTGGGTTACCGGTGACTCGTCCACGTAACCAATATCTGTACCATTGCCGAGAAGGAAATGCTATTGAAATTTCTCACCCAAATTATTACAACTCGTTCGAAATGAAGAATAGAGGCAAGTGCGAAATTTTCGAATTTTTTTTTCTCTTCCATTTGAAGGAGTTTCTAAGTATAACCTATGCGTCTTATTGGGCAATGGGAATGCGAAAAGCTCAGGAAGAATTTAACCTTTTCACGGAGGTAACGTGAATCTCTAATGCTGAATATTTTGTTTCTTTTTTTTGCAAAAGGGCTGAAAGATTAATAACTGCGTAAAATATTCCTTCGAATTGCACAGATTGCCGATAATTCAGATCCGAGCCAGGCGAGGAGTAGTGAGTTTAACAGAAAGATCTTGGTTAATAGGAATGGAAAGAAAGCGTTAATGGAATGCGTTTGTACGACAGAACGCACAATGGCTATTCCTTGTACACGTTAATGAAAATTGCTGCTTCACGCAAGTGGCGTCATGTTAACGCATACGTTTAATACGGTATCAGTGAAAAAGAGAAACAGACACGATAGCGTTAATCGTGTAATTTCACTGATTATTTCACGATAACGAAGACGTTCGATCCTTTCGAAAAGTGTGAAAGAATGGAGAAAGCGTGGACTTGCAGGAACTTCTTTATCTCGTCCACCTACTCGCCTCGTTTTTGAGCTGGTTGCGTAACCCCTCTCATTAACAATATATAGTTCACTGAACTCCGCGAGTAAACCGCGTCCACATGTGCGCGACTATTTAGTGTTGGCGTTTATGCTATTAAAAGAACGTTTGGAATCTTTACGGCTCCCGAAGTATAGGTCAAACTATTATATCTACTCGATGAAAATTGTACCAGAGAGAAACGGTAGGTATGTAAATTTTACGAAAGATCGTTTACCTACTATCCGGTGGAAATAAAAATTAATCGACTAACTCGAGCTAGTTTAAGTTACCCACGGTCGTGGTCAATCCACGCAACTTTTACTCCGCTCTTAATTGCCCGTGACGGATTAAACGTAACGAGATTTCAGCCTTCGAGGCGATTCGCGGTCGCTTTTACTCGCAGCTAATGACCGATCCACATTTTGTCCAGGTGTACCCCGCGAACCATAAACACCCTTTTCCGAAAGTGCGAAAAATAGAAGGAAGGAGAGGCGGAACGTAACCGTGCTCGCGATCTTCGATCGTGAACAACCCCGCGGTACCCTCCGTAGATCCTTATTACCAAGATTATACATCCATTCGTTCGCCCTGATTGATGTAACGACTATAATCGCCGTAGCTGACCCCGGTAAGCGTCGTTTAAATCGTTCTGCTACTCTCGAGTGCTAAATTTACGACTTTCTCCGGCTAACCTGGACTCGAAACCACCGTTCCGATTCGCCTATTCCCGTCCGTATCGAAATTTAGAGTAGATACACCGAATGGTATTAAACGTCTTCGTTATTTATCGCCAATCCTTGTTGAAAGTTTTCATTTAATTTCTGGACAATCCGAGTTAATTCACCGCGACAAGTATCGGTTTTTGCACGGACCAACGAGGAGGAACTGTTTGCAGGATAACGAGACGACGATAAATCTTACTGGAAAGCGGCATAATCTCACAATACGCTGGGGCTCCACGTCACCCATGTCAATTCGTCTGCCTAACAGTCGTTGACATAGATTCCCCTGCTCTCTCTGTCATGCAACTTTTACAAGTTTACCTGAACACACGTCTTACGCTGTCTGTTGCCGACACTCGTGAAGAGACGTCTATTGAACTTCACTTCGCGGAGTAACATTCTCTCCGCCGTCGACCCTGATCCTGAATGCTTAAAAAGTCCTCTCTCGGCGAGCGGATCGACACGGTGTATATACCTACGTGTGTGTAGATACACATGTGTACAGCGTTGTCCTGAATAAGGAACACGTTAATCTTCGCGTTACGTAATTCCAGTAATTCGGTCGCCGGTACTCGTGAAATCGTTGCAGCGGAAAGAATCCTTTCTACTGTTAACGTGCAGGCGTTTGACCCCGAGGATTCCGCGTAGCTTCGCTGATCTTTGCTCGACTGCGATCTCCGATGCCTCTGATTTACGCGTTGCAATAAAACACGATGACTGGTGCGTCTTTTTGTTCCAACGAACAATCGTGATCCTCGTAACACATGTATACATTCGTCACGGATCATTTTTTTACACACGCAATTATTTTGTTTGTGAGAAAAAAGAAATTTATTTCACCAGTTAGAATTTCTTAACATTCGTACTGGCAAGTTTATCTAAAGTGTGAATCTGTTTCTAATTCTACATAAGGGGTGATCTTTAAGTGAACAATGTTATTTAATAAGACAGCTATGGATCGTTACTTTCGCCTTTTTTTTTTTCGAAGTTTAAAGTGGATAAGTGTGACGTAATATACGCAAAGTTTGTCATAAAATAGGAGAACCTTACCGGAGTGTCTGGCAGACCGCGGTCCCGAAATGTCAGGATCCGCTGCTCGCGTCGGGACGCGCCGATCAATAGAAGACCAAAAGGCACATGTCCCGGTAGATTCTCACGCGGCGATGCTCTCGAGCTTGGCGGGCATGCCGCCTCGAAAACGTTCCAACGCGTATTCCAATATTAATATTCGATGCCCTTCTTTATACTTTTATCGATGTCTTCAAACCCCTTCAAACCTCTTCAAACTTTCGTTTATTATAATTACTCTCTCTCGGAATCTTCAGAATCGATGAATAATACAGTCTGGACCTTGATTAACCTCCTTTATTCCACCAACAATCAAGCAGAGCCGCCTTCAAACCTCTTCAAACATTCCTCGATTAAAATTATTCGTTGAGCCTCTCGAAGATCAATGAAAAGTCTCGTGTACGCCTTTATCGCGATGCCCATTGACGTTTACCCTCCTCCATTCATCCGTCAATCCGTCAAAGTCCTCTTCGAAACCTCCCCAAACCTCTTCAAACTCTAATTTCTTCCTCAGCTTCGAAAATCATATTACGACATCGAACGAGAGCAGCGTGAATCTTCCTCGACGATAGGCGTTGGTCACGTCGAGAGGAGTTTCCTTGATCGAACGGAAAATTCACCGGTTCACTATATAGCGGGGCTAGAAGTTTCCATGAAGGTGTCGCGCGCGGCAGATCCGCCGGCACCGTTCAGACCGATGTCGAAGCACCGGCGTCGACGCTCATCGCGTGAGAAATTCGCCGTTCGACGACGAATTCGCGTGTGGAAACGTAGGGTGGACGTGGTGGCCGAACGTTACGCGAGGAACAGCGAGAAAGCCGAGAAAAGTCGGTGCACTGGCCTGCCATCGGGTAGACCGACGACCCGGCACGGCTCTGGCAACGCGGCGACGCACTGCGCCGACGTCGCGACGACGACGTCGTCGCCTAGGCGACCACGCGACCTCTCGCTCTTCTCCTCTCTGTGTGTTGATGGAGGAGGAGGAGGAGGGTGGATCGATTGATCGAACGGTGCGAGCACGCTGTTCACAGCGAGATATCGAGATGTCGAGAGAGAACGAGAGGGAGGAAAAAAGCAGGCTACTTTCCGTTCTCCATATTTTTCTTATCCCCTGTACGGGCACGAACTTTCTTCCCGATGACTTCTTCCTGGAAAATGAAATTCTTTCAGACGGGGAGATTTCTTTTTAACCCGAAAATTTCGATTTTTTGGAAACTGCGGGTTTGTTAGGGGACCTCGAGAGAAGTATCGGGAAATTTTTTTGGGCGGGCCTTCTTTCGGTTCTTCGGGGTGAAAACAGCCCCTGAATGAAAATAAGTGTTACCCTATTTCCCTGTATATCTTTAAAACTGTAGTAGATATAGAAAGATGTTTATAATAAAAATGTAATAGCTTCTTGTGCCTTATAAGACAGTGCTATTAAATTGATAAAAATTGTTTGTTTAAAGAAGAAATCTTCCACCACCGTGTTACGAATCGACTCTTTTTGAGTCAGACCATTTAAGGAATCTACTCGGGAAAGGGGACTCAGGTAGTGCTCGGAAGGTAGACTATTAACGCACAACAGTTTGCTGTTAAAACTATATATTTGTGAATGAACGTGAACAGAGCGCGAAATGCCTAAGCTTACTGATTGGAAAATTGTGTGTCGTGTCGTGTGGTGTTCGCTATTTTATAAACTACGTGTGTGTTGTGATTGGTGGTGTGAAAACTGTCGTAGGTGGTGGAAGGTTTTTTCGGTGTGTTTGGGGTGTGTCTGGCGGTGGTGTGAAAGTGGGGAATTTGTTCTTACATTTGTTATATTGCTTCTTGGAGGTCTGTTTATGATCTTAGGGGTGTGTCTGGCGGTGGTGTGAAAGTGGGGAATTTGTTCTTACATTTGTTATATTGCTTCTTGAAGGTCTGTTTATGATCTTAGGTCATGTGGTGTTCAGGTGTGAGAGGCGTCGAGTTTTTCGGTGTCGTAAAGTACTTTTCGTGCCGGCTAAGACCTCGCTTTTTTCGGACGTGCTGGACTATCGGAAATCCCGATGTATTGTTCGGCTCGTCGGTACGGCCGAACAACCCAAGCGACGTCTGTTACGCATGTGACAACCATTATTGTGAAAACTTTCGAATTTTCTGTCATATCGAAAAATATGTCAAATAAATGCAGGTAAATATGCTAACTGTGTTTTCACCCCGAAAAATCGAAAAAGAGCCAAAAAAAATTGCCCGATACTTCTTTCGAGGTCCCCTAACAATAATAAATTCTAAGCACGGAGACTTTCTCGACTGGGTATATTGTTATCTTCGTCACTTATGAATACATTTAAAAATTCAACGAAATTCTCTAAAAATTGATTTCTATTTATCGTTCATCCTTTGACAATTTTGCGTATTCATTGATGTTCGATAATCGATCATCTGTCATCGACGGATGACAGCGAGGCTACAAGGTTATGCGAACGCAATGGTGAAGAATGCAATCAAAGTCTACGCTAGATTGAAGCCTGAGAAAAATAGAAAGAACTCACTGGTACATACTAAAATGTACAAATTCAATATCGTTATTATACTTCGTATATTTCTCTCGAAGAGTTATCAAGTCTTCCATCGTCCGAAAGAGAATCTCGAGGAGGACTTCCTGTTCCTAGTTTCCCCGATACAACGAACGAAAGACTACCCCGACAATCGTGCCGAATCGTGGAATTTCTCGTAAAAGACATTCACAGAATTATATATGAAATACGAAAGATACACTTGTGAATACCTGTAACTTTCAGTTTCTTCCGTATATTGGAGGAATCCGCGTCACAGTCGGATGTGTTCGAGAACGTGGCGCGGCCCGTGGTGGAAAGGTAAAAGGAACCGTATCGTTAATAATTAATAAACCCACTCAGCTATGTGATTTCGTTTGTTAAAGTGCTCTCGATGGCTACAACGGCACCATTTTCGCCTACGGCCAGGTAAAACCTATTAAACGAATCGATAAATAATCACGAGAAAAATTCTCATCGGGAATGTGGTGGTACAGACTAAAAACGAAGCTTGTTTCGTTTCAATTTTTCACTCTAATTGGCTCATTTTAATTGCATCAATAGATACAATAGTCTAGGGCTTCCGGCTTCGCCGAAAGTGTTAAAGTCTGTTATAAATCAATACCTGATTAATTAAAATTGTATTTATAAATAAGCAAGACTGGCTTAACACTATCTTTTACACGTTCATGGACGTATGTCGATATAACGGTATACATAATATTAATAGGTTATATTTTCGTATACATCCTATTCCTTATAAATAAGCTAGATATCTATGTAATGGTAAATGCTTATTTTAATGTAAGTTAGCAATTCTACTATAAGGGTTAATACAAGTGAGGTTAAAGTATAAATCTATAGATGTAACATTATCCAGTTAAAATTAAATTAATATACTATTATATATTATACCTACAGGTCTTTAGATACGAATAAATGAACCATAAGTGTAGGCCTAAACTCTAGAAATCAAAACCTAAACTCTAGAAGACAAAACGAATTTTTTACGTAATGAAGCTACATACGTCTACACTATACAACAAAACAGTGTTATAAAACAAATTGTTTTATAACCTAGTTATGTAGGATGTGAACAGGGAGAAAGGAAGCAACAACGGGTCAACGTTTTTTAATAAAAAAAATAGAAAAACAAAATAAAAGATACAAACGACCGGTGGCTACTTAACGACTGCTTCTTTCGCTCGTCTTGCGCCTCCACCAGCACACCGCTCTCACGCGACACGCGCAGCCGTCGTCTTTCGGTAGCCTTTGTCTAGCTACCGCTGCGCTAGACCGCCCCACAGTTATACAACATGCTTTTATAACTTGTTACAGGATTATAATAAGTTTTGTATTTTTCATGTAGAGCGACTTTCACCCCTTCACTATGGACGATTGCCAATCGAAAAAAATACGTATCGAAAATTTATTCAGGAACTACTATATGTATACCAAAATTTCATGATATTTCTGTCTATCACCGATTTTCAAACCTTAGAAACCATTTTCCCTCAGATTTACAACAGCGAAAGGGTTAAATTCGAAAATTCGTACCACGTTCTCTATCCACACTGCATTCGTCATTTTCTAACTCACTTGAAACTTGAAACTTCTCAGACAGCGAGCGGGAAAACATACAGCATCACCGGAAGCCGCGGAGAGGAGTATCAAGGCATCGTACCAAGAAGCCTCCGCTACCTGTTTCAAACCGTGCAAAAGGTAGACATTACGTGTAGGTATAGTCGATGGAAGAAATACAGCGAGGTCGTGAATTAAAACGTTAAGTAACATTTTTCCTTTCTCGATTGGGACTGAATCAAAGCTAATTCATACTTTGTGCGATCCTGGGCCGAGGTTTCGGGTCAGAAATCTTCTCAGGTCCCTGTCGATTCACCTGTCGATATGTTCGAACGTGCGAACTTTGACGCCTGACCGAATTTTTACGACCTCGCTATATTTCTTCCGTCGTTTGTATATACGTGTATACACGCAGAAGAACCGTACACCGCCCTTAAATTCCGTGCAGCGGCCGGAAAACGTGTACTCCGTCGAGGTGGCTTATCTGGAGATTTACAACGAGACCGGGTACGACCTGTTGGATCGTCCGCAACGGCAGCGCGAGTTCGCGATTACGAGATTGGAAGATTTACCGTAAGTCCTGGTGACGTAAATGGCCGCGGCCCCTCGAGTTGTTTCTTGAGTATTTCGTAAAAAAAGCAGCCTGGACCCCCTAAAGGGAAACAGCCTGACCGATCAACCGTGATTCTGAACGCGGTTGCGAATATAGAGCAGCCGCGTGCAATGTGCAATCGCCTCGCCATCCATTTTCCTTCATTCACCAACTGTACTTCCCCTCTTTCGGTTTTATTCGGTTAGAATGCGGGGTGGGCCACGTGAAACGGGCCACTTAATTGTCTTCTCTAGCTATGGTGGTGCGAGAAAATACAAAGGGTACATACAGTCGGTCACAAAATGATTCGGACATGATTTGAGAAGTTAGGATTAGTTGCGAAGGAAATAGCGAAAGTCGCTTTTTACAACTTTTTTATCTGAGCTCGCAATGAAAATTTAAAAAAACACGTTTTGTAGATCTATGTGAGTTATACGCATGCTGAAAATTTCATCGAAATCGGTTGATGGAGAAGCAAAGCGACAGGCACCGAAAGATGTAAGAATCTTCAGATTTATTACAGTCATAGGCCGAAAATCGTGAAATAGTGCGATTCTCACAATTTTTAACCGCAACATTAACCCATTTCGATGAAATTTTCAGCATGCGTATAATTGACATAGATCTACAAAACGTATTTTTTAAATTTTCATTAAAAGCTCAGATAAAAAAGATGTAAAAACGACCTTCGCTATTTTCTTCGCGATTCCGACTAATTGCAGTTTTTTCAAAAAATTTTTGACACATCATCTAGTAAACTAATCTTTCTAACTTCTCAAGAAAAATTCAAGTCGTTTGGCCCAATTTTAAAAAAGTTATAATGTTCTAAATAGTGTCCGAATCATTTTATGATCGACTGTACATAAGATGGAAGAAGAATTTTTTTGATAAATCAATGGCGAACAATGAATAAAATTTTCGAGTCCAAGTTCATTTTAAGATCATATTAGTATGCATGTTTAACCCTTATGTCAATAACCGGGTACCCGGATACCCTTTTGCATAATTCTCACTTAAAATATTTGATCTTCCAGGTAAATATCCGGCCAGATTGTTGTCATTTGGCACATTTCCTATCCGTGTCTGCCTTAAGTTTAGAATTTCGTTATCAGGAAACTACTAAAATGGGCGATAAAGTATTCTGGTTACTGACATAAGGGTTAAATGCCCATCGATACCTGCTACATCATCCAATAGAAAAAAAATATATTCGTGTTGAAAAACATAATCTTGTTCACCCTTTGAAACCGTTTGAATTACTTATACGAAATTTTCTCGTATCACCATAGCTGGAGCAGACAATTAGGTGGCCCATTTTACATGGCCCACCCTGTATATTGTTTAGAGCGATAAAAAGTAGTTTGGTAGAAATGATCGAGTGTACTTTAGACGTATCAGCATTCAAGAGGATGAGAATGGGAATTTGCATTTGAAGAATTTGACGTTCCACTGTGTCGGAAGTGTCGAAGAGGCTTTCAAATTGCTTCTGTTAGGTGACAGCAATCGGTAAGACGATTTACACGAAGTGGGAATTGAAAAATTCGAATTTTGAAGGATTCCTGAATATGAAAATGTTTAAACAGAATTACCGTGGAGACGCCGATGAACACCCAGTCATCAAGATCGCACTGCATCTTTACCATCGTGGTTTCCACGAAGCAGTTCGGCGCTGAACAGTATAAGCGAGCGAAAGTGCACCTCGTGGACCTGGCTGGGTTAGTATACCATCTTCAGCGTTGTATCGACTGAAGGTAGTACGAGGTTAGAGCAGCTCGTAACAGAACCATAAGGAGCTCCTGAATAAAGCTAGCCCTCTATAGGTCTCTCCCTAATAATAAATCTCTACACAGGCGTTTTCATTGAAAAAAGTCGCTCGACGAAACGGGGTCATCTGTGACCCGTACTACTCGCGTGTGTAGAAGGTTTATGGAATATATACAGAGTGGAGAAAAATTTTGAAATGCTTCCGTTATTAGTAATAATATAGAAAACTGTTGTACACGAAACTTCGTTGATACGGAGGCGGACATAATGTGATGTAAATGTTTCGAGTAGAGGCACAGAATGGCTATTTCACCGTGCTATCGTTAATAATTAAATAAATAGTTTAAGTTACTGAGAAATTTAGTTATATGGAATATATTACTGCAAACAATTTGGGGATGTAAGTACTAAATTATAAATATTGGTAGTTGAAATTAAATTATGATCAATACAAAATTTACATTTTAATAACTTATAGGTTACACAATAAATCCCTTATTTAATAATCTATGAGGTATACAATAAATTTCTACAAACTCAACCACTAATTAACAATACCATTCTTTTTCTTTTCAAGTTGCCAAGAAATGTAGAGTAATGTATTGAAAATAAAGAAAAAAGGAATCGCGCGACGGGTCAAATGTGACCCGGCACCGCTTTTCATTCGAACGTCGAACATTCAGCTATCCAACGGTTAATAAATAAATAATGAATTTTCTTTTCTCTCACGACACCGCGTCCACTCGATGTAAATAACTTGTAAATTGAATTTCTTCCATAAGTCATTCCTCCGTAAAAATTTCTCAAGAATGTCGAGGAAATGAATGCATCAATCATCGACCCACTTGTCTATAATGATTTTTCCCCTGTGTTCCATTACTTCTTGCTTTCTCATTGCCATCTGGACTCACGCTGGCAAATTCTGTAACGGTAACCGATCTTTCCGCAGATCCGAGCGAGTCTACAAATGCTCGATAACCGGCACCATTCTAACTGAGGCGAAGCACATTAACCTGAGCCTACATTACCTGGAACAAGTCATAGTGTGTCTGGGTCAGGAGAGCGCGGGTCACATTCCTTACAGGTGCTAAATTCCCTCTGGAACTCCAACTCCATGATTATCCATTTTTTCTTTTTTTTTGCCTCTAATAGAAAGTAATTGATAAAATATCTGATCCTTGATCGACCGTGGAACTTTCACTATTCTCGTTCTTAGGAATTCCGTCTTGACGTCAATTTTAAGAGACAGTCTAGGAGGAAACTGTATGACTACGATGCTGGCCACTATAAGCGTTGTTCCTTTCAATTTAGAGGTGCAGAAAATACTTTTTATGCCGTATCTTTGAAAAAGTGTTGTTAAATTTCGATCGCTTAATTGGGCTCGTTTCATCGATCACAAGGAGACACTGTCCACCTGCAGATTTGCACAGAGGGTTGCTCTAATAAGGAACGACGTGAAATTAAATCTGGAAACGAACGTTCAAAGCGAGAATGCATTATTGAAGGCGGAAAATGAAAGGCTTAGGCGGCAAATTGAAGCTCTGACGGGACAGGCAGTTCGGTGTTTTAATTAAATATTGATCCAGCTTCTAAGATGAAGCCGTAATTCGTTTATTTTACTCATACAGACGTCTGAAGAGCTCACCGCCGAGGACAAGAGAAATCTCGATTCTCAGCTGAGAAATTTCTTGGAGATCAACGAAGAGATCTGCTGGGATAATAATCCTACGAAAGTGCAATATTGCTTCCGGAGTTTGAAAAAAGTGTTTCAACTGAGCAAGGATCCGAAAAGTTGTTTGAAGAAAATGGAATATTACAAGGAGCTGGTTGTTCAGAGGGATAAAGAAATTTGTATCCTTATTTCCGTTTGTTTTATTCTATTATTTATCTGGTAATTCCTTGACGTGAAAACAGCACTGTTGCTCGAAATGATGAAGAAAGAGAAAAATCAACGACTCACTGGGACAATTGAGAACGTATCGACTGTCAGCAATATTCAGAATGATAAGCAGAATTCGGTGATTAATAATAACTGTTCGAAGAAACAGAAACGAAGGCCTAAGAGTTCGAAGTCTCTCGTCCAAAATTGTGCAAACGACGATAATTCGGTTAAAATGAGTTCTAACGAAAAAATTTGTGACAACGTTGAAGCAAATGACGTTGCAAGAAGTGCAAGTAGAGAAAGCTTGATTAATCACACAGAGACGAACAAATCTTTTGAAATCAGATTTATCAGCTTGCAATATCGTGAATTTGACTTTGAATCATTTGTCGGAAGAGAAAAGTAAAATATGTGATGAAGTAGTGAGTAGTAAAGTTGAAGTAAATCGAGAATCTTCTCGTAAATCTGACAGAAAGCAGAGAAATACTGTGACAAAGGTGACGAAGCAAGAAGACGACAAAACTAAGGACGGTCCTTTATCAAATACTAGAAGCAGAATTAAAGACACGAGATCTTCGTCTGTAGAAACAGATTATTCCATTCCAGTTTATCAAAAATCGTTGAACTTCAATTCGACAAAACGTCAACTTCCGGAGAAACCTTTCGCTGTTAAAGAAGATGAAAGAACCGAGACAAGAAGCTTCGATAGAAGATTCAATTCGGAGGAGGAAGATAAGTTTGAAAATTCGTTGCCTTTGACAGGGGATCCTGAGATCGACGAAGAAATTATCGCATTTTATAAAGCGAAAAGATCGGGAGAGGTATATTGATATTTTTTTTCCAAGGTAGTAATGATAGCATAAGAAAAGAAATAATAGCGTGCAAGAATACAGTATTATTTACCAGGAAGACATGATTAATTGTAACGTAAAATAATTTCTTACAATATAACAAAACTGTAATTAAATATATTAAATTAATTCTAATATTCGATATGTACATTTGTAATTACATTTTTAACATCAATTCTCCCTGAAATTTTTCAACACGTTAACGCTGCCATATCTACTTTTTCTCCGTACATTTTTGCCTCCAGGATTGTTAACCTGTTCTCGTGAATTAGGGCGAGGAGGTGTCGTTTCGCGAAATTAGTATATTTCCGAAATTTGAAAGCGAACAATTTATCCACGTTCATTCTTATGCTGTCCCTATACACGAACCCTTGGATACCTAAAAAAATTCACGTGTTTCATCGAATAAAAAATAATTGAAAAATTTTTCAGTACCTTTATACTCGTAAATACGAAGTTTCTTCTTATTTTCAACAAAAACGAGCAAAGTTTCAATCGACCCCTCGAAGTTGAGTATCGTAAACGACGTTGGCCTGTGAACCTTCAAAGTCTGCAGAATTTGCTTCCGTTTTGCGTTACGGTTGCAAATCTACACGATGAATTGAAACGAACAAAACAAAAATAAGATTTTATTGGAACTTATTTTTACGTTGAAATTAATGTAAAACAATTAATTGTCGTTAAACAAGGTTTCGTGAAAACGGAACTCACAAATATACGATCCTTGCTGAATTCTTCGTCGTAATACAAGAACATTTCCTTCTCGAGTAATCCAGCTTTGAAATGCAGAATTTCTGGACTTCTGGTATATTTTCCAAGACTAGTACCATTAGAACGATCAGTATTATACTCGTACACGTTACTTCTACTCGTTAACAGCATCTGATCATCTTCCAAGACAATTTTCACGTCGTCTTCACCTTCCAGAGACGAAAGTGATTTTTCCAATTCTTCGTCCATCCTTGCAGAAGATCTCATCTGCCCTTTCAAACCGATTAACGTCAAAAAGATGTCCTTGTTTATCTTTCTGCTGTCTATACTGCGATCAAGGTCTAAGACATGCTGAAAGAATTAAAAGACACGAGAAATCATTCAGTTGAATAATCTCTAAGTTTAACCGACTCTTGAAAACTCACCTGAAATTCGTCGTTCTTCAATTTCCACAAATTAACAGGACCTCTTCCACACGAGCTCGCTCCCGAAGTGAGAAAATACAAGATTTGATCGTGTTTAAAGGTGGTCCATCGTTCGACCACCCCAAAATCAGGCACATTAGCTACCAACTCGAATTTCGTTCCAGTGAATAAGTATGTGTGCATTTGACAAGTGTTGTAACTCAACATGAAATAGTCCAAGTCGTCTAATTCGAAGTAATGGACGCTAACGATGCCGCTATCCAACTCGATGATTTGTAAATAGTCGAATGCAGCGAACTGATAAATTTGCTTCTCTGCGAAATGCTTCAGGTGACTTAAATCGTCGCATATGCTGTTCAAATTTGCCTACGAAGAAAATACGAGCACTTAGACAGATTTTCAAGTCATTTGTACTTCAAGAGGATACACCACCCTGAGGTGACTAAAAATAGGTGAAGTTTGGAAATTTTTTTCATAGATAGACGAGACGGTGTAAATATAGGCTATCACTTTTATTTCAGGATTTATTGTCAAACCTGTGAATGATTTTTAAGATATGACATTTGTTGTATTCCGCGGCTCGCGATTCCTTGCGTTGGTTTATTATATTCAATAGGTACGCGGTAGGAGAGCCTGACGGAAACTGGGGCGAAATAAGGGAGCTATTCTGCGCGTAGTACTATTCGACTTTATTAGACAGTTCGGTGACGTTCGGTGCGTGAAGACCACTAGACAAAAATCTGCTGTTTCGACGGAAAAGGTTTCTAGATATAGGTTCGGTAAGTACGAGAGTAGGGGTTGGTCTCAGAGGTCAATGTAGGGAGAGGCGGTGAGGTCTAGGTTCAGCGATGAGTAAAAGTAAAGGATGATGTGGAGGTCTAGGTTTCGGGGTGACTAACGTTAGGATGATGCGGATTTTTTACAGTAAAGGAAAGGAGGCAGGATGACTAAAAACTAATGAAAGATAGGAGAGAGGTATACGACACATTTAAATATATGTAGGAGGTTAATGACCGGAGCGTGTTTTGTTTAAATCCCTGCGATACAAATAGGCGAAACGGTGGCAACGAGCTCGGACGGCCGTGGCCTTCCAACGTTCGTTGTTATTAAACAAGAGTGAGTGTGTTTGTGCGAATGCGAGGGATGCGAGTTGCCAAGAGAGCGCGTGAGAATGAGAGAGAGCGAGCGAAGACCTTATAAATAGGGAAAACAAGAGCGAGATTCGTTCATTTTCCTGCGAAGCGATAAAGAGTTACCAATTGTGTTTATCGTAATTATATAGCATTGTGTTTTGTTTATCTCAATTATATTTTACCAATTTCTAATTACATTTTGCATTCCGTTTCCTACATACTGTCCGACAAACCTAAAGTGAAGCTTCTGACGTCACAGCCTAGCAAAATAGGCGGTTCAGGTCATCTCCACTACTCTTGGTTCTTACACTGCAGGCCCTTGAGGAGAAGTTGGATTGTAGGTAAATGGTTTAGGAACACGAATTTAAGTCAGTTGTCGATGATAAAAGAACGGAAAACTAAAAATTATTTGGTCGCCTTATCCTCTTACCTACGTTGGCGCGTAAGACATATTTAATAGCGCAGACGTTCATTTCTAAGCGACTCATACACAGTAAATTGTTATTGTAAAGGAAGTCTCAGGAAATGTATTAATATTTTTTAACAGTTAGAAAACTAAAATGTAAATATTTTTTTCCTATTCCTGAATAATAAAAGTAGATTTCGGCGCATTAAAAAATTGCTTAAGGAGCTACAAAATTTCTGGCTGCAATGAAAAATAGCGTGCCACCACAGACCGACAGCCACTGTTTACAGCCAATAAAAGTCATCAAACAGCCACTATTTAATGTTAAAATTTTGAAAAATTTGACAAAATCAGACGACATGTCCTCACTTTAACCGTAATATTTCGGCTTTGTTTAAAGATAATATTTCGATCTTGGGCTTATTTCATAGCAATAAACATAGCAACAATCGCTGCTAAAGTTTCAATTGCTAATTTGACACTGTTCCCACTCGTAGAATAATTTTGAAAAAAATACCATTGGATTGCTTGAATTTTAACCTGTAAAATAAGCTACTCGAAATAATAGAGAAATTTTGGGAACGTGGGATAAAAAAATAAAGTTTACCATGATGCACATCGTTTGGCGTCGCGCAGGCATTTGTTCGCCTGTTTATGGTGTCTGCGCGACGTAAACTTAATTTTTTTTTTATCTGCTCATCTGTTTACCGACTGCTCGAACGAGACCCGATCGTCATCTATTGTTCATAGAAGAGTAAGTGTGATAGCCTTATTCTATCCCTATTTGTGAGACCCGATCGTCATCTATTGTTCATAGAAGAGTAAGTGCGATAGCCTTATTCTATCCCTATTTGCTGAATATAAGGGAAGACCTAAGAGTAACTGCGATAGCCTTATTCTACCCCTATTGGCTTACTAACAGGGAGCCGTCGCAAGTTCCCCTACATCTCCCACTTTTAGGCCCTGTGTGACGTCAGAGGCTTCACTTTAGGTTTGTCGGACAGTATATATACATATATATATCAATATCAATAACATGTTTACTGTATGAAACGAAATGAAAATAAGCTGAACAAAGGCAATGTGTGTTGCAAATTATGCGTTTAAAATAAAAGGGAAAATCTTCATTTTTAGAAAAGTGTTCGAAATATGGGCCACTCGTAAAGTAATCGAAGTGAAAAGTAAGAACTGCATATTTTCAGGTTGAAATTTAAATGCTATTTACAATATTTACAATCTATCTACAATAGTCACAAACGTATATATCTTTCTTTCTAATGTTTTGGTATGTTTCTTATTACAATTCTCATAGTCACCGAATTCTAATATTGGCTAGTCCATATTAGCCCATATTATAAAGCTACTAGCTTTGCAGCCCATATTTAGATCATTTGATCAGGAACGCTTAGAGCGATGATATTCATTACGAAACTTATACTTAAAAGAAGCTTCAATGTCAGCAATGTAGCACTCTTAGTTAATTACCTCTCAGTTTAATAGGTTATTGCTGAAACAATAAAACGAACTTACTTGGAAAATGTTTTGAAATAGCGAAATAAGAGAAATGACACGTTTTGCAACAGAACACGTAAACAAAACAAACGTAGGCCACTGTCTCCTCCATAACACTTATTTTGTTCATAAATAGTAGTTTCGTCCTATTTTCAATACGGTGAAGCATCTAACATGATTCAATACTTCAACTAGCCCATATTTAGCCCTTCTTCTCTACCGACTGAATGAAAAGTTTCAATCTTTTCATAGGATATAAATGCAAGTTTCAGCTTTTTCCTTCAATTTTTGGAATGTAAGAGGGTGGTGTTCCTCAGCACTTTGTAAAAGAAAAGAAAATTTCATACATTTTTCTCCATCAAAACAGCGTCCATCTCTAAATGCCTCTTAGCCAAGGTGTTCGAAATTTCGGTGACATTGATACCATTTACTATATCGCTTCCAGAAGCTCCTCTTTCGAAATAAACGTTTCCAAACACTGTCCACCTACCAGAGATGATCTGTTGAAGCGAATTATTCGCGGTAACAGCCACAGCTTCCCATCGAGTGGGATTTATGCCATTCAGATAGCCTAATACTCGCAAGCTTTGGTTGAAATACATTGGACTTTCGAATACGAAATTTCCTGGAAAAAGTGAAAATTTCACGAAGCATTTTTTCATCGAGGAATCTCTTTTCTACGACCTACCACTTATGGAACTCTTTGAATTCAAAGGGATAAACCTTGTTGGATCGATGCCATTGATGAGACGCGGATTGAAATCGCGACGAATATGGACGTGACCAGGAAAATTGAAATTTCCTGTTATATTCTGACTTCCAATCGTCTGAAAATGTAAAAGTGTCATTGACCGACCTTGAATGACTCTGGATGATCTTCGAGTGAGCTTGAAAGAAGGCACGTATAGATAGATCATTGATTTAGGTATCGTACCATAAAAGTGTTCTCTTGGATTTCTGTTAAATCTTGGTTATTAACAGTTTCCAATATTGTAAGCTTATCTACGGTAATATTAAGGCATTTCAGAACCTTCACAGGCATAGCCTGTTCCTTATTCAACGGTATTAACAAATTCATATCCAAATCGTTGAACTTCTCCACTCGAATGTCCGATTCGAAATTCACATCGGTAAACGTGATAGTTTCTATCGACAAAAGAATTTCACACACGGTTCAAGAATAAAAATATCCAATAATTAAGGGGTCAGGCCACTTCTGAGGTTTGAAAAAATCGGCTTTCTTTTTAGGGACTTTCTTCACACGTTCACAGTTTCTATAAAACTCGATATTTTTCTTAGCAGGGGACACCACCATTGGGACATCCGTAACCCCGCCATTTTGTGAATAAATTAAACGAAAAAAATACTTTTATATTCTCTAAGGATAATATAACAAAGCTCTCGTGAAAAGTTTCCGATCGAGTCAATTATACTGTTTAAAAAAAATTGCCAAAGTTAGGTATCATTTTCAGGCCTCAGTGGTGGTCTAATCTCCCTTTATTCCAAAACAAATGCAACTTTAATCACCGTCGATATAAGTAGGTCTGTCCAGATGCAGCACGTTAAGTTTCATCTCTTCTATATCGATTCCCATGATGGATTTAGCTTCAAGGCTCGTTTTAACTGCAAGATCCTTCTCCACTTTAATATCATCTTTGAAGACAATTTTCGACTCGACGGAGAATGGTTTGTCGATAAAGACAGCCTTCTCGTCGAACTTCTTCAGGTCTATGTCGTTCAACCTCTCGCGCACTACAAATGCGTCCTTAAAAGTAATAGAGCCTTCGAACACTTTCGTGCCAGATATCGTGAGATCGTCCTCCTTCTTGAGAACCACAGCGTTAAGAAACTCGTCCATGTTTCTTCCTTGAATGGAACCATTCAAGTAGAGATTTTCGATAGTCACGTTGTTAGGGAAACGAATACTTCCATGCAACTCGAACGTATTGTTCTCTAAGGGCTTGAATCTGTCCATTAAACCTTGGAACGATACGTTACCGATATTTCCGGTTGCGTTGAACTCTTTCAAAATTGTCACCGAACCTGAACAGACGCGAGAAAATTTTACTCAATTTTATTTCCTAATTAAATTTGAACAGAAAGAAATTTCTTGAAAAAGAAAGAGATAAGAAAATTAAAACAGAAGGAATTTCAAGTACCATTTACGACCACAGGACCTGATAAAACTTGTCTTCTCGAAGGATTTAGAATATTTTCTACAGGACGGCCGTTCAAAAATCTTATTTCAAGTTGCTGGCAGGATATGTTGTTGAATATTTTGTGCCCGTTGATTACTATGTTTTTATCGGTTTTTAATACTGTATCAGAGACACGTTTTGAAAAATTGAAGCCATTCATTAGCCCTAAAACAGTCAGATTCTTTATGGACACGTCTTCTTTGAAGATCACAGTGTCTATTTGGTCCTCGTACAAATCTGCGAAGAGTTCTCCGTTGATTAATTTTGTCTCGATCTTTCCTCTCACTTGAAGAGATTCTAAAGTAATATTTCCATTTAAGATACTCTCCAATATCGATTTTTCTCTGTCTATCAACTCGTTAATCTCGTCCAGAGACATTCCGTTTATGAACGACACGTTCAATCGATCAGTCTCCAAATGATCGACTCTGTATTCGTCAATAATGTTCGAATGTGGCAAATCTTTGGTGAAATTAGAAAAATCAACGTTGTTTACAGTCTTAGGGACAATTTCTTCGGCCAGCAAAGTTTCTGCGATTAAATTCTCAAAGGTGACATTCTGAAACGTTTCGTTTAGCTTCTGATTGAAGTGCTCGTACGATATGTCGTTGTTCAATTTATCGAAAGACAATTCGTCCACTATAATCGGTGACTTGAACACGATAATTTTGTCCAAACAATCGGTCAGATATTTTTGTTCGTTCAAGAAAGCTTCTAGCTTTTCTACCGCTCCAAATGTCACGTTCCCGAAAGTGACGTTCGACGATATTTTCGTTAAATCTGAAATAAAGTATAATTAACGAACGTGTATCAACTTTTGACAAAAGTTGAATTTATTACTTGGAAATTCTTGATCGGTGTCCCGAGTCACGAATTCGTCCAGAAAGTGTCCATTGACCAAGCCAGACGTGATCGTAACATTGGACAACATTCCAACGTTCCCCAAAAACGTCTTAGTTCCGGTAATTTCCACGTTTTCTTCCGTTTTCAACAGTAGATCTCCTAAATTCAACAGACGCCTGTTCATGAACGCTGTATCGAACGTAACATTTCCCAAAACGTTCAAATTCAAGAAGGTGACGTCTGAAGAAATTTCGGAAGTTTCGTTCAACAATCGACTCAGCTTCTCGGTTAATCCAGATATCTCACCGTCTACCTAAAATGGCGAAAAATTCTCAGAATTCGTGAAATATATTGTAGTCTCGGGGCCTCCATACCCAAATAGGAAACCGACAAGAAAAAATAGAGAGGGAGTAGTTGGCGTAGTGATTTCTCCTAATCACTACAGCTCAATTCTCATTACCCACACAATAAGCACTGAAAAACGAAAAGAAAATACAGGATACGCGCCAAATGTCCCCGGACAGGCAACGTGACCTAAAACTTAAGGACAATATTATACCTAAAATTAACTATGTAATATGCATAAGCTCTGGAGATACAAATAAAAGCTAAATAAATTAAAATAAATAAAATAGTTGGCGTAGTGCGTAAAGCCTCGGCTTCCTACGCCGAAGGTCCCCGATTGGGTCCCTCAAAATTTTTTCCCGTCGATTCCTACAATATTGAAGAAAATTCAAGGTACGTACCTGAAACTTTCTCTCGATTGTCAAATTCTCAAAAGTGGTCTCTTCTTTCAGGACATTGTCCTTGTTCAAAATGACAAAATCCTCGAAATCTATCCCGTTTAGGGTGGTCACGTTTTCCAGACGTGGCGTTAGCAATGTGTTAAACGATTTTGAACCAGTTATAATCACAGGATCTTCGCTATCCGTTAAAACGTAGTCTTCGGGGTACGGAAGATCGTTTAACACGTACAAGTCGGATACATCTGCAGTCAGTGTCTGAAATTAAACGGCACACGTTATATGTTAATCGTGTGAAACTTGATTTTCAACAGCTAGATTTACCCCTTCGATGGTAGTGTTCCCTGGAATGAACATTGGCCTGTCTTTCCACACGATGTTCTTCATTAGCGCTTCCCAATTAATACCGTTGATCGTCTCAAAGGAAAGGTGTCCTTCTATGTGAGCTCGATTTATTTTCGAGAAATCTGTGTTACTGTAATCCACCGTAAAATCGCTGAAACGAATATTTTCAATGGGTACACCGTTCACCGAATGAATTGTCAAATTTTCTGATTCTATCGAATCGAATGATTTCTCATCTTCGATGAAATTGCGATCGTTAGAAGACTCGGAGTTGTTCGTTAAATTTATGTCATTGATGTATTGTGCACTTAAGTTTTCAACGTTCAAAGTTCCAGTGACGTTGATATTTCCGAAAATTTCCACGCCTGAATCGAAATGTAACACACGTGAGTTAGAATCCATAGCGTTCTCCAAGTTCGAGTTAATTTCATCGAGCTTCTGTTCTAAAATTTTCAGTCTATCCGAGAAATCGTTCACATCGAATTCTAATTCTTCTCTCGTTAAATTACTTGCACCTATGGTGACTGAATGATAAATCACGTTATCAGCTATGTCTGCGCTCGTTACATTCACTGTACTCAGGTTCCAAAAACCGGTGATTATAGAATTTTTTAAGTAACTCTTTTCGTATCGTGCTTTTGTTTCGTCTATAATTTTCTCCTGATGGTACAACGTGTCCTGAGTAATTTAAACAATGTTTAGTTTCCACATCGCTGTTTGACATTGACAGCGACATAACTCGAGAAATGTGAATTTTACAGGAAAAGCAGTTTAAAATTTGCATTTGACTAATAGTTGAATACTGATGATGTGGATCGAGCCTACCTCGAATAATCGAAAACTCGGATAATAGGGAAGGATCGATGGGTGTTCATAAGTCGCGCAAGAAAATCATAAAAAGCATTTTGATAATGTAAAATTGTACATGTATTTAAGTTTAATTAACTGTTTATTAAATAGTCAATATGAAAATGTTTTTTATGATTTTATTGCACGATTTACGAACACCCATCGACCCTAAAAAATACTGCAATTTTTTCATTTTATTTAAGTTCAAAGCACCTCGGATAATACGGAATCTCGGTTGAACGGGACTCGGATAACCGAGACTCCGCTGTATCTGATCTTCTCTCTGGTATGAAACTAATGAAGTTAGAAATGTACCGCTTTAGATGATAAAAATATTGTATCTATGGAATCTATCTATGCAAAAAATCAAAATTGACATTTTTTGAGTTATCAGTGCCAACCAACAATATACATATGTATCTTTTATACGTAATTTAAATGATTTCAAAAGGTGAACAAGATGGAAGAAAAAAATTTTTTTTTTAAAGGTCACACCTATGTTTTTTTACATGAATTTATATAATTTCTTCTACTGTATGTTGTAGCATTTTTCAATTTTTTATCAAAAGTGAAGTTTCCTTTCATTTTTCACCATTTCTTCCACGAAAAAGATGTCTTCTATTTTGTCTCACCCTTTACGACCATTTAAATTACGTGTAAAAATTTGTCCCTACCACTATAGCTAGAGAAGATAATTAGACGGCCTGTTTTAAATGACCCTGTATAATACGTAAAATACTTACGTTCAATAAACTTTGCAAGCCTAGCAATCTCTCTGTTGTATACTGAACTGGATGCTGCACGTCCTCCAATTTCGTATGAAATTTCACAAACTTGCCACCCGAGATAAACCCAAATTTTGGAATAGGTGTGACCATAGAAAGATCGAATTGATCGAGAATCTTATTGGGTAACTCTATTTTTTTGAAACTCAGACCTTGCCAAGCTAGAGCAATCACAGTGGAATTTTTCAATTGAATCAACAACAGAGATTCGTCTCTGTACGTGTCCAATTTTACATCTTGCACCCAAGAAATTTCTGATACATCTGCAGACAGTAAAAGATATAAACTGAAATCGTCAAAGAAGAAGAAAAGTCATTTTTCTTTTCTTGTAAAATGAAATGTTACCAAAGCTGGCTTCAGATTCTGCGTTGAACAAAAATTCACCATCTACCAAGTAAAAGAGACCAGCTTCCGGTCCGGATATCGCTAGAAACTGAAGGTATCCACTTTCAAAGCAGGCGAAATTTTTCAAATCGTTCGACTTTATGGTTTGTAACTCGTGAAAAATTCTTCCTCCAGTAGTGTTTCTATATTCGTATAGGAATACATCGTTCTCGCCTTGAAGAGCAAGGGAAAGGCTTTCGTAAACGGGGCAGAGTTGGATACCGAACGCTTTTGGCCCGAGAATCCTTTCAAAGAACCTGCATCGAACGATCAGTCAAAATCCAACGAAGAATAAAATCTCGAAAATATATTAGGCGTGGAAATGAATTTTTTCCGACTTTTGGGTAAAATCGATGTTTTACGTAAAAAGACTGAAAATGGATCGATCGTCGAAATATAATTTCTGTCGTTATCGATGACGTTTTGACATTTTCTTGGCAGCTTGAAAATACCATCGCGATAGAAACTCGTTGGTTTTGAATCAATTACATGAATCCAGTCGGAAAGAATTCATTTCTACGCCTAATATTAGGCAGAAAATTGGGAAAAGGAAGAATTCGTCACCAAAAGTCGAAACTTGTAGTTGAAAAGTCGATGTTGAATCCGTAAACGTCGATAGACGAATATTGCATCCCAAAATGCTCTTTATCGTCGTTCAGTAGCAGTAATTTATTCAGTTGTTCCTGTCGGATGAATTTCATGTCCTTCAAACGTTTCTGCACTTGCCACGACCAAAAGAACTCGAAGGAATTTCCATCCACCAGTCTGTACCATTTCAACGTGGTTCCACTAGTTGATTCCACGCACAAAACAACCACCAGATCGATTTCTAGCTGCAGGCTGATTACGTTAAATGTCAATATAGTGCCTTCTACGATCAAGTTTGCGGAATGAGTAGCCAAACCGATAGTTAAATCCAGTTTATAGAAGAAGAAACTCGACTCTTCTGTGTTAAAGAGGTAAGCAGATTCGTTTACTTCGAGAAACAGCCAATTCGTTCTCGTACTTGGCACATTTGCCAATTCCTGTACAGAAATGTCTGTTACGACGAGCTCTGAAATTAAATAAAGAATGTTTTTAAGAATTTTGCGTGGTTCAGACAGAAAAACATTTTACTGAAATTTAAAAAAAAGAAATGTGTTTAAGAATTTTATATAGTTCAGACAGAAAAATATTTTACTGAAATTTAAAAAAAAGAAATGTGTTTAAGAATTTTATATAGTTCAGATAGAACAATATTTTACTGAAATTTGAAGAAACTGTGTTTAAGAATTTTATATAGTTCAGATAGAACAATATTTTACTGAAATTTGAAGAAAGTGTGTTTAAGAATTTTATATAGTTCAGACAGAAAAATATTTTATTGAAATTTAAAGAAGACAATACTTTTAAGAATTTTATGTAGTTCAGATAGAAAAATATTTAACTGAAATTTAAAGAAAACTATGCTTTTAAGAATTTTATGTAGTTCAGACAGAAAAATATTTTACTGAAATTTAAAAAAAAAAAATGTGTTTAAGAATTTTATGTAGTTCAGATAGAAAAAGATTTAACTGAAATTTGAAGAAAACTATGCTTTTAAGAATTTAACGTAGTTCAGATAGAAAAATACTTGACTGAAATTTGAAAAGAAAAAAAGGTTCTAACGAATTTGATTGTATTTCCAACAGAACAACATTTTACCTTCTCTGTTTCCAGCTCCAGTGTTGAATTTATACTCCATCCAAATTGACTCCATCTCGGTATCTCTTCGAACTCTCGATGAATCGATATCCAGGAATTGGTGCAGATTTTCGGAGACATTTTCGATAAACGAAGAGTTTACAATATTCACGTAAAACAAGAGAAATAGTGAAATTATGGAGCAACCAGTTGAAGAGAACATTGTAGACTCGAGATAAGATCGAAACGATCTTCGATAGAGTTATCCGTGACATTCGTTCATTCGATACTAAATATTTTGATAGGAACCTAACTCGCTTGCAGTGGTTCTCAAACTATCCATCCTAATTTTACACCCAACCTCGTTATTACACCGCATTATAAATTGAAAATAATTCTCAATCCACCCCGAGACTTTCTTTCTTGAATAATTGATCAAAACCGGTCGATTTTTCTGTCTCATCTTTCCATACTAATTGTACACTTTCACAAGCATGTAGGTCAGGCAATGTTAGTTCCTCGTTTTCCTTACAGAAAACGTTTTTATTCAGTAAACATATAATACAAAACAATTACAAACGAAGTGCATAAATAACTACGTGTCGTAAACCGTGTTACGTAACGATTACCCTCGACGATTATATCATCGTACTGTCAGTGCATTGTACCCCAGAAAATGTTCCAATATACAATGTCTTTTTACTCGCTAAATTATTTCTTCTGCGCTGCCCCAAATGGTGGGCATGATTCGGCCCGCGCGAATGATCGGAAATACAAATTTTCGATGTTTCAACACTTTTTCGAATCGTAGTTCTCGGCTCACAAGGTTTCTCTTAGAAAAAAGACTTACAGCAATGGCAATAATTTAAAAAAAAAAGTATTTAGTAGCTTTTCTTTTGTTATTCGAAAATGGTTCGATTTATTTTAAAAAACCACTGCGAACGGTAAGGCGGTTATCTGTCCCCCATCTTGAAAAATGCTGTTTAAATCTCTACAACGACGTTTCTTTTTTCTTTTTATTTTATGCCATAAGAATTGTATATTGTATATTATGATGCATTTCTGGTTGTCCATTATTTGGAGAAGATTTGTCAATATTCCAGCCATTGGATTGTACGACGTTTCGTAGTAAATTTTATGGAAAGTAAAAATTGTACAGTCGTAACCACGATATAGCGAGGTCGTAAGTTAAACTCTGAAGAATCGGCACCGATTGATGTTGCGGCACACAAGGCCGTGCGTTGCAGTCTGTTCGAAGGTTCCAACGGTGAATGAATGGTAGAGTTTGATTTGGCATTTCAAGTAGAAAATGGTATTCCATTTACAAATGGAAAATATGTCAATATTAAGCTACACAACCTTTTCGCACTTTCTATCTGTATATAGCGCTCGCGAATAAATTAAGATGCAAAAGACCTCGATAAGACATTTACCTCTAACCGTACTTCCAAAAGCGGCTCTCTCCAGAGGGAAAAACCCTAATTTGTCCTAGCTGCACGCAGTTTTCAGTAAATATATTAGAATCAGTTTGACTTTCGCTGAATGCAACAATTCTTCGTACAGTCCTGACCATGGTTTCAAGCACTTATCTGCTGGTATTTCTGTCAATTCTTGAGTCCTGCCAGCTAAGACATGTTCACATCGACGCCTCACCGATATTACGACCTCGCTACATCGTGGCCGCGACTATACGTGACAATTATTTATATAAACTTGGCCATTAAGTGGCTGATTGAAGTATTTTGGAGTGGAATCTATAATAACGCCTGTAGAGTTCCGCAACCAATTCGTTCAAACGTGTCTGTAACTTCGTCGATAATTCGAATATTCTAGTTCACTTTAGGCTTCAAACATTTCAACGATGTGTACCTTTCGAAATACGTAAAAAGAGAGTGGACTTTTTAAAATGGAGAATCGTACGTGACCTCTTAAATACCAGACACTGTGAAACGATAAATGTCTATACTAAAAGGATCTAAGGCACAGTCACTGGTAGGAATCTCGTTCTGTCGCCTACTTTAGGCTGGAACCTCAAGTTGACCTTCTCCTTTTCATCCTCTCCAACTTCTAAGAACGTGTTCCAGTCCACCAGGAAATACAAT